CCTGCTGATGGTAGACAGCAACAGCGAGCACAGCCAGGTCATGGTCACAGAGACGATCAAGATGTGCAAGGTCAGCGAGAGCTACAAGGCCCGCAACAGCAAGAACAGGAACCCGAACGAGGACGAGCAGCAGTTCTGGGAGGAGGGCTCAGGCAAGATCCAGATCGGAACCAACGAAACACCCAATTTCAGGGCAGTGCTACCGGGGAACACGAAAGAAGAGACCATGGCGAAGCTGGACCAGTTCTCGGGCCACAACCTGATGATGGCAATGGGGATGCTAATAGTCTTCGTGGGAGGCAAGAAATCCCAGTCGGCGGCGCCCAAGTCGGAGTTGGAGAGGGTGGTGGAAGGGAAACTTCAGCGTCGGCGCCGCTGAGAAAGGAGGGGGTAATTTCATTAGCGAGGTTATCTCGGAGTGCAAAAACCCCAGGGCAGACTGCCAGACCGCAGCTGTCGCGGCCGAGCACCTTCACTGCACCTCCGACGGCGTCGGCATCGAGTCCTGAGAGGGCCGCCCTCGGGAGGCCCAATCCAGGGCAGTCGGGCATCGCGAGAGTGCCCAACAGCGGACAGGCGACGAGGAAGAGACATCTGTCAAATGATGAAAAGATGGCAGCGTCAATCAGCATGGAAATTGGACGCCTCTCTAAACTAAGACGTTTTGCCCCACATGGTGGGACGAACGAACCGGCCCTAAAGTTTCGAGCAGAATGGGAAGCGGAGTTGCAGAGAAACGCTTTGGGAAGAGGCCTCCCTGGCAGCAGCCAGCCCTCCCGTTCCTGTCAGCAGTCGACATCATCGTGTATGGCGACACGAGTTCTTCTTCCCCCGACTCCATGACAGAGACGGAGTGACGGTGGGCGGGACAGTTTGCATACTGCATAGCATACGCACAACGCAGAAATGGGTCACGGACAATGGGGGCAATGGGAACAAAACACAACGAACTACGTGACATCCGGGGCAAATGGGAACACATCACAACCTCCATCGATCCATCGCCGGCTCCCACAGCCAATCTGGTTCAACGGCGGCCTAAATTCGCAAAGTTGCGCACTAGCGGGGTATCTCGGAGCGCGAGACGCTGGAGCTGCCAATGGCCTTCACGGGCAGCAGTCAGCCATGGCCACGCGGGCGCTGCAACAAGGGGCTTGGGGACTACAAGATGGTCGAGAGCCACAGAGAACACACCAAGAATGCGCCTGGGCATGAAATAGATCAAGGAGGCAAGGGAAGCCAATGGAAGAGGGCGTGCATCGGCGGCGAGCTGAAGCTGACTAAGGAGGAGTGGTTCAAGTGGAGCGACGAGGAAAAGACGAGGCATGGAGGAGAGCAATACATTACGAGAGGGCAAGTCTGCCGAGAATAGAAGAGGAAAGCAAAAGGAACTGCATGGGCAGCCCAGTCCCTGGGGCAGATCCAAGCGGCGAAAGCGCTCATTGAGGCAAAGGAAGGACCGGAGAAAAAGTCTCGCAATCAGAGGAACCATATGGTCATACACAGGCCCACTGGGATGTCAAGAGCACTGCTGGAGGGCTTCACAATGAGTGGGGGCACCTTCGCAGCCTTCAGCAAAGCAGGAGAAGACATCGTCAAGGCCTTACGCTGCGCAGGAGAATACGGCGCCCCGCTGAACGAGTACATGGCCATGGACGTTAAAGACGAAGAAGCACTGAAGGCCGCCAAAAAGGAGTTGGAGGAAAAAGAGAAGGGATGCACGAGATGGGAGACTACAAGACGGCGAAGAACATGAGGGAGAAACAGATAGCGCACCCCAAGGCGCTGGACTTCGTGGACAAGTGGAGCGACAACATGCAGCTGCCCAACGTATCCACGATGAGCACAGGATGGGACAAAAAGAAGGACGTCGCCTGCTCCTGCAGATTGGCATTCCCTTACAAGGTGTGGCGGCAAGGCCCCAGTCCCAACTCAGAGGGGGCCCAATGGAAGTTCTGGTGCGAAGTGGACTGGGCACAGCTCGTGAAGGCGCAGGAGAAGCATCCAGACGACAAGCTCATGAAAGAGCGGGTGGACACAATGAAGAGCGACTTCGGCGAGAACAGCGAGAAGTGGCCAGACATCGGGTGCAAGTCCGTGTTCCAGCCGTTCAGGAGGGGGCCTTCAATGGTGGTGGAGCTCAGGGTGGGAGAAAATTAGGAGGCGTCTGTCGCAGGAAGGCTGCCGCAGACGCTTGGCGACGCCATCAAAGGGAACCATCACAAGTTATACGACGCCGCCCAGAAGATGAGCCCCGATGAACTTTTCGAGCTGATCCCAGTAGCCTCCCCGATGACGCACAAGGTCGACGGATGCGATCTGATCCCAAGGTACCCACTGGATGTGTGGGAAAGAGCTGGGGGGAAGGCCTTCACTGTGCAGAGCTGGTGCGAGTTGGCGCTGAAGATCGCGTAAAATGACGAGGAGAACCTCTACAGCGTCACGAAGGTGACCTGGGATTAACTGGGCGAGAAGGATAACCTCGACCCAGAGAAGGTGAAAAGGCTAAAAAGCGCCAGGAGCTAAGGGACAGCACGAAAACCCTGTTGAATAGAGATCTTCGAAAAGTACGCCAAGTCGGAGAAGGCGGCCAGCTCCGGCGACCACAAGTGAGATGGCCCACCGGAGCCCACTGACTAAGCCAGGAGGTGCATCAGCGAGATTATTTAGGAGTGCGACTCTAGGCAGGCGGGCAGACTCAGCGGGGCCATCACTAGCGGAGCAATCTCGGCGTGAGGACCCTAAAGAAAGTTCTCGCGCAGACAACGGCTTGGGAAGTGATTTTTTGGAGCGCCGACAAGTACACTACTGCAGGGGGAATGGGGAAAACGCGATAAACACGAAGGCCACCAGAGAGCATCCGCGAGGGCCCCACCTCCACCATTCCGTGACTAACAGTATGCCCTTCCCTACGTACACATCGAGGAGGACCAGTAGGGTACCTCAACAGGGTATCAGGGCAACGTTACGACAATGCATGGAACAACTACCGACCAGTTCATCCTGGAAGAGAAGTGAGCCGAGAGACAGAGGAGAGAACAGGATTGAGTAGGATAATTAGGCCCCCCCAGCAGAAGTTTGGAAAGCAGAGGCCTCCTGTTTCTCCGCCCGCTCTCATTTTGAGTTGTCGTGTCGCCGTCTCTTCCCCGCTAGCATGGGAGCCCTGCTCGCCCAGCGCGTCCCCTATCATAGGGCACGCGGAAGGGCCAGCAGCTGCTCCCCCCGCACTGACCTGCAGTGACTCGTACTCACAAGGTAACGAGCCACTCTCACGGGGCCACCTCGGAGCTCACCCCTTGAAGCTTCGAGGTATGCCCTCTGCCGGACCGAGTGATGAGTCAGGGTTGTTGCACAACCTAATCGCAGGGAATGTTGCAGACGCGCGCAAGGCGCCAGTCTAGGTGTGCCGACGTCGACCCCCTTTATGCGGATGTCCTCCTCCTCCTCCTCCTCCTCCTCCTCCGCCTCCTCCCTCCTCCTCTCCTCCCTCCTCTCCTCTCCTCCTCCTCCCCTCCTCCTCCTCCTCCTCCTCCCTCCTCCTCCTCCTCCTCCTCCTCCTCCTCCTCCTGCCGCTCAAAGCCCTGCTCTGTGTGCGCGGCCTGCCTCGGTCGGCCCGCCGAGCGCCACGTGGGGGTCGCCTCGTGGGCGCCTCCCCGCCGTGCGCTCGGAGGAGAGCCCGCCGAGGCTCCGCCGGGGCCCCCGCCCGTGCGCACCCGCGGGCGCCTCGCGGGCGCCCCGCCCCGTTCGGGCGCCCCGTTCGGGCGCTTACTCGTGGGGGGGGCGATAGTCCAAACCTCAAACAGAGTCCAAACATTAAACAGTAGTTGTTTATTTGGAAAGAAGGAAACATAGTCCAAACCTGTTGTTCAGAATATCGGAGGAATATCAAACATGCGCAACAAGTTATCATAAAAGGAAGCATTGTCCAAGCATGTTATTCAAAGGAAAGCTAGAAGTTAGCAAAAATCTGCCTTCTTCACTCATGGGGCGCCGCGTTCGGGCGTTTACTCATGGGGTAAGAAAGGTGCACCTTTCGTGCGCCTTTCGCACCCCTTCGGGGCCCCAGGGGGCTCGTTCAGGTCCCCCTTTGGGGTCCCTTTCGTGCAACCCTCGACGCCCCCCCCATTTATCGCCTCCCCTGTTGCCGAACGCCCGACTCGTGCGATGGGCAGGTCCGCCAGGCGTTAGCTGTAGGTCGGGCGTGTCCTCCCACAGGGGGAGTCTGGGCGACAAAACATACTCAACAAAGTATTCAAAAAAATCCCAAATATACTATGTAACAAAATCTTCCCCAGACGATGTTTTGACTATTTTGAAAGATCCTGTAGAGGAAAAGGCCCGACTTGACGTTACCTGTCCCTCCTCGCTTTCACTGGCGAGGCACTAAGGTCCGAGGCCGCTCCCGGCCCCCGAGCAGCGGCCAAGAGGCCGCTCCAAGGCCGCCGAGCGGTCCCACCCGCAGGGGCTCCAAGACGGCCCAAGAGAGCCCCAAGAAGGCCCACAGAGGCCCCCAAGACAGCCCACGAAGGCCCCAGGACGGCCCCCCCAAGAGGGGTCCCAGAGGGTGTGCCCGAATGGACGTTGCAAGCCTTCGGCCCCAGGACGCCCGCAGGAGGCCCCCCAGGAAGCCCCCCAAGAAGCCCCCAAGAGGCCCCAAGAGAGGCCCAAAAGCAGCAGCAGGCAGGCGGCGTGCGCGCACGGACGAGACGCGAGGAGGGGCCCCAACTTTGCTTCACCTTCGTAAATCCGAGTTTTACCCCGCCGTTCTCTCACCGTCGGGCCTAGGACAGAAGAAGACCCCTCAGGGGCACGAGACCCTCCGTCGCCCAAAACACACAGGACAGGGCAAGAATACCCTCCCCAGGATGCACACGGACATCCAACAAGCACGAAGAACACCAGGGTACCCTCCCCGAAACGACCTCGATCTGATGCCCCGGTCCGACTGCAGTCGTCGTCGGCGTGGTCGGCGGCGTCGTCGTCCTCCGCGGCGGCGGGTCCTGACGCACGGCGGGCTGCCTGACGGGGCACCGCAGGTGCTCTTCGCCCACGGCTCCCTGCGCCCGCGCGCGGGCGCGCTCCGCTGGAGGCCTCGACGGCCCTCCACGAGGCCACAAGGTGCCCCCGAGGAGGAGGAGGAGGAGGAGGAGGAGGAAAAGGAGGAGGAGGAGGAGGAGGAGGTGGCGGAAGCCCCCGAGGCGTCAAAGTCGTGCAAATCCCGACGGCTTCCGCACGGCCGGGCCCAAGGACAGAAAAGCATCCCTCGAGAACACGAGGGCCCCCGCCGGCCGAGACGCCCAAGACCACGAGGGCACCAAGGGGGCCCTTCCCCAGGCAGGCACGAGAGCGTCCAAAAAGCACGAAGAACGTGAGGGAACCCTCCCCGATGGCGTTGACAGTACTCCCTCCCCAGCTCAGGATGGCTCCGAGGCAAGCCCTGGATGCCTCCGAGAGGCTCCACAGGGGCTCCTGCGAGTCCGCAAGACGGGACAAGATGGCCCCCAAGACGGTACAAGATGGCCCCAGAGTTCCCGCCCCAGGACGGCCCACGATGGCCCAAGACCGCCCTGGGAGGGCCCCAAGACGCCCACCGACGGCCCACAAGGCCCTCCAACTCGGCCCTGGCATGCCCGAAGGGGTCCCAAAATGGCCCCAAGCGGCCCCAAACAAGAGCCCGAACTGACCTCAGGAGGTCACCAGGAGACAGTCGGACCCACGACAGAAGAACATCCCTCAAGGACATGAGACTCTCCGCTGGCCAAACTGGACAAAAAAGTACCCCCCAAAATCAAGCACTCGAGGGTACCCCGTCCCCTGGGATGCACAACAGCGTCTGACGGAAACGAAGAACATGAGGGTACCCTCCCCGAACCGACCTCGATCTTGTGGAGGAGGAGGAGGAGGAGAAGGAGGAGGAGCAGGAAGAGGAGGGGGAGCGAGAGGGGGGGAGGATTAGGAGGAGGAGGAGGAGGAGGAGGAGCAGGAGGAGGAGGAGGACCAGCGTAAACCCAAGGGTCATCAACGATGTTGGAGTAAACCCTCCCTCCGAGCTCCCTCTTCATAGGCCCCTACAACGGTTCATTTCCGTTGAGGGAACTGCCTCGTTGGAAGACACGCGTTTGAAGACCCTGAAGCATGCCAAAACATTCTTCTCGGGATGCCAACGCCACGGATCAACGAATCGTGCCAGAACACCATTCCTAGGACTTCAACACAGAGAATCAACGTAACTGTTGCGCGAGCATGACCCTTAATTTTTCCACTACACCATTTCTGGTGCGTTGATGATGGGAAACCGTGAAACTCTTGCAACTGTTTGAAACGAATGTGCGCGGCGCTAAGGCGAGAGCCACATTTTGAAAACCACCCGCCATCAATCCGTGAAACTCTTGCAAATGTTTAAAACGAATGTGCGCGGCGCTAAGGCGAGAACCACAATTTGAAACAACCCGCCCTCAATCCGTGAAAATCTTGCACATGTTAAAAACGAATGTGCGCCGCGCTAAGGCGACAGCCACACTTTGAAAACAACCCGCCCTCAATCCGTAAACTCTTGCAAATTTTAGAACAGGAATGTGCGCCGCGCTAAAGCGAGAACCACATTTTGAAAACGACCCGCCCTCCATCTGTGAAACTGTTGCCATTTTGAAGCTTCAGAGTCATAAATGGTGAGGAAATCTCTGGCGAAACGCCTGGCCCGCCCCAAAAACTGGCCTCGGGGGTGCAATGTATAAGGAAAAGGAATGGACGAGGAAGAGGAGGAGGAGGAGGAGGAGAAGGAGGAGGACGGCGGAGGAGGAGGACGGCGGAGGAGGAGGAGGACGGCGGAGGAGGAGGAGTAGAGGAGAGAGGAGGAGAGAGGAGGAGGAGGAGGAGGAGGAGGAGGAGGACGACGGAGGAGGAGGAGGAAGAACAATTGCACCGGCCGTGCAAACGTGCTGCAGCGGATTTTTGCGTGGATTTCAGCGTGGATTTTTGCCCGAAGAGGCGAACGAAAAACGAAGTGAATTTCACGTGGATGTTTGGGGTCTTCATTCCTGGTCGAAAAAAAATCGCACGAAAGTCACCCCGAAATCCGGAACGAAATTCTCCAGGACAATCTGGGCCCACCCTATCGTTTTCCGAACGAAATCCGCTCTGCGATGTTGGCGCCATGAGAGGAGGACCCAGCCACTCTTCCAGTGCAGCGTCTCCTGGCCTGCCATGCTGCACGACCGTGGGCACGCGTGCCCCCTGCTTTCCCCCCGACGCCCCGACAGCGAGAGAGGGGGAGAGCGCGCAGCCACCCGAGCGAACCGCCGAGGCGACAGAGGGGAGCGGCGCGCGGACAGGCCAACCGCTCAACGACAGGAGGAAGACGAGGAGGATGAATCTGCTGAGGATGATGATGAGGATGATGAGAACAACGGTTGAAAAGACGATGCCGATGACGACGATGATGACGATGACGGCGACGATGGTGATGATGATGATGATGCTGATGATGGTGCTGACGATGATCACGATGACGATGACGATGGTAATGATGACCATGGTGGTGGTGATGATGGTGATGGTGATGATGACAGTGATGATGATGATGATGAGGATGATGATGATGAGGATGATGATGATGATGATCATGATCATGATGATGATGATAATGATGATGATGATGATGATGATGATGATGATGATGATGATGATGATGATGATGATGATGACGATGGTGCGGATGATGCGAATGACGATGATGATGGTGATAAAGATTGTGATCTTGGTGGTGCTGGTGCGAATGCTAATCATGTGGATGACGATGCTGGAGATGATGGCGATGGTGATGATGATGACGACGGACGAGGAAGAAGGTATGGAGGAGGAGGAGGAGGAGGACGAGGAAAACCGCATGCTCTACGCTGGGGAATCACGCGCGCAAGGTCTGCAGCACAAGCCGACCCCTGCGGGCTGCGCAGCACATGCGCGCCCGTGGCACTGCGCACGTCTTGAGATCGTCGAGAGAACGCGATCTCCACCGTCGCTGGCGTGGAAAGTTCTTCAAAGGGTGATCGTGAACCAGGGGGGCCCTCCCCAAACAAAACCATACAGGGGCGGCCCAAGCCCCCCCAACAAAAAAAACATTCGGGGGGGTCCAGGCCCCTGGGCTGGACCGAAACGAGATTATTAATATTGTTGTCGTTTTGTCCTACCTGTTTTCCTGTACCTCCCTCCCAACACGCAAAACAAAACACAGCCGAAGTCCAGCAAAACAACGTTTAGGTCCAGCCCTGCCGGACCCACCCGGGAAATTGAGTGTCTTGGGGGATCCAACGACCCACTCACCCCCCCTCCACCGCGAAAACTATTCGATGGGTCGGTCCAGAAAGCCCCCCCCTGGCGACGACGACGACGACGACGACGACGACGAGGGCGACGACGACGACGACGACGACGACGACGACGACGACGACGACGACGGCGGCGACGACGACGACGACAACGACGCCTACGACCAAGCCGACGAGGGCGCGGCGACGACGTCAGCGGCGGCGGCGTCCCACCTGTCGCCAGCGCCGGCACCAGGCGCCAGCTCTGATGGCATAAAATTAAGGTTCGCGGCAGCTCTCTCGGAAGCCTACCAGGCCCCTACTCTGCTCCACCCTACTCTGCTCTACTCTACAGTCAAAAACCCTAATAAGGACGCGCGGCAAGGACGCAAGACCCTTGGAAGCCGAAGTTGGGATTCTTGGGGCGGCGGACGACGAAAACCTCAAGGACGCAAGAGCAAGGAAGAGCAAGGACGCAAGGGTACCCTGAGCAAAGTCGCGCGTCCTCATTAGGGTTTTTGACTGTACTCCACCTCTGGGGGAGCGCGCTTCACGGGCACTTGCCTTGGGAACACTCGGCGACGCGTTGGAACTGGGGCGGGGGCCGAACATTTGGCGCCATCAAACAAAACCAGGGCGCCTCCCCTCTCCCCTCCCCCCCCCGAATCCCCGCCCCCCCCCCCCTGGGGGGGAGGGGGGCTCGAACCCCCAACCCCCACCCCCCCGCGCGAGAGCGGGGGTGTTCGAACACCACCCTTCACCCTCCCCCGGCGACGGCGCTGGCGCTGGCGGTGTCGTCGTCGTGGCCGTCGTCGTGGCCGTCCTCGTCGTCGTCGTCGTCGTCGCCGCCGTCGTCGCCGTCGTCGTTGTCGTCGCGGTCGTCGTCGTCACCATCGTCGGCGTCGTCGTCGTGGTGGCCGTCGTCGTGGCCGCCGTCGTCGTCGTCGTCGTCTTGCTCGTCGTCGCCGTCGTCGCCATCGTCGGCCGTCGTCGTGGCCGCCGTCGTCGTCGTCGTCGTCTCGTCGTCTCGTCGTCGCCGTCGTCGTCGCCATCGTCGCCACCGTCGTCGTCGTCGTCGTCGTCGTCGTCGTCGTCGTCGCCGTCGTCGTCGTCAGTCGTCACATCATCGTCGTCGTCGTCAGTGTCGCCGTCGTCGCCGTCGTTCGTCGTCGTCGTCGCCGTCGCGTCGTCGTCGTCATCGTCGTCGTCGTCGTCGCCGTCGTGGTCGTCTCGTCGTCGTCGTCGTCGTGGCCGCCGTCGTCGTCGTCGCCGTCGTCGTGCTCGTCGTCGTCGTCGTCGCCGCCGCCGCCGTCATCGTCTTCGGCGTCGTCGTCGTCGTATCGTCGCCGTGTTCGTCGCCGTCGTGGCCGTCGTTGTCGTCGTCATCGTCGTGGTCGTCATCGCCGTCGTCGTCATTGTCGTAGCCGTCGTCGTGGTCGTCGTGGTCGTCGTCGTCGCCGACATGGTCGCCGTCGTCGCTGTCGTCGTCGTTGTCGTCTTCGTCGTCGTCGCCGTTGTCGTCGTCGCCGCCGTCGTCGTCGCCGCCGTCGTCGCCGTCGTCGTCTTCGTCGTCGTCATCGTCGCCGTCGTCGTCGTCGTCGTCGCCGCCGTCGTCGTCGTCCTCGTCGCCGCCCGCCGCAGGCCGCCGCCAGCGCTGGCGCCGGCCCGGGGAGGGGTGGGGGGTTCGAACCCCCCACCTTTAGAATCCAGGGGGGGGGGTCCGACTCCGAACCCCCCCCACTCCAAGCGCCTAC